TCAATTTCTTTATATTTAATACTTCCGAATTTGATTTGGAGACACTCTCGAAAGACAAAGTAATCCCGAAAGCCAAATCGGATTTATAACGGAAATTCGTTCTAATATATGTACATCATCTTCTCGGCTTGCCGGAATGCAAACAAATATTCAGTATTATTTGCACCTTCCCGCAAGAAACTGCGAGCGAAGTATATACGGAGGCAGTACATAGGTATTGGAGCCATTAAAATTGACTGGTAAGAAACCAATCCTCTCTAGAGAGCCTCTATGAATTCAGCACACGACAAAACTTAATTCCTTTAAGCACCGAAATACCATGGATGTTTTGTTTGAGTTTACTTATATAGGGTGCATGAAAAGTGTATCAGCGACCCATAATTAAGATCTCTAACCACACCTTCGCAGATAGAGATGACGGACCATTTGTTCGTTGCTCACTCTTTGTTTTTCTCCCCGATTCTAACCCGACAATGACCGTTCTACCATTAGCGATCCGGCCTACCGGCCAGACAAAACTTCTTTAATAAACGTAAAATTTTTGTAACACTTCCTATTCTTCAACTCTAAAGTATGATTCGAGCTACGCGTTATTTTTGTGTAAAAATATCTTTAATATCTACCGCCTCTTGTCATAAGGCCTGCATGTAATAGATCCGCTCCCGACCACATAATAAACTATTACTATTACTTAATTTTGGATTTACTCCAATGCTCGTACATTTGAAAGTACTGACAAGCCGCATCCATATCTATACACAGCTAAGGCCAAGTTTGACCACTGTTCTTCAAAGTAACAAAAAATGATTGGCTTGTTTGTTTTTCACAGCTGCCGGGCGGCAATAGAAAACCTACGAGTGTACTTCTGCTATGAAAAAGTTTCTCACCAAAACAATTTGCCTTTGGGAGGTAGCATAAAACTGTACATTCCCCCATTTGTGTGACAAACCCAAAAAGCACAGCACAAATTGGAGTAGAAGCCTTACCACCAACTTACACTTCACCCGGTGGTCCTTACTACTTCCCTGCCGAATCTCCCTTACTTTAACAAAGGTGTGTCCGCCTTATGTAAGTAGGAACTTAGAATGTGCATTTGGTATCAGACATACTTTTAAGCCGCTGTACCAAGGTACGTAGAATGTAGAGCAGAGTCGCTCGGAGTAGTTATTTTGCAATTTACAACGTAAGGCGTCATCGGAGGTGTTCTTTTTATGCTATACTAATAGATGATAGAGGTGGGTAACTCAGCACTGTGCTGAGTTACTGTGCTGACTCTTAGAAATGTGCCGCACGCTCAGACTCACCTCCGAAAAAATTTGTAACTCAGTAACTCAGTTTATGTGCTGACAATGTATAGCTCAGTGTGCTTCAGTGTCGATATGGTAACTCAGTTGATGTGCTGACACTTGCATAGCTCGGTTCGGCTGCATTTTTTAGAACTGTGTCGATGTGGTAACTCAATTGATGAGCTGACACATTCACACAATACGATCTTCCAAAAGGTACCATAATAGATGGCGTCACGAGACTTACCATCAGTTGAATATACGACTACCAAATTTAACAAGAAGCAAGGCGAATAGCCCAGTTATGCATACTTGCACTGCTATACCCTTTTTACGTAAAAGTCAAAACCAAACAGAATTCTACATGTGAAGTGCTATGCGTTGGGTAACCGCTTACATGCATAGCCCATTTAACAGATTCTTATGTGACAACTCTCAAGCAAAACTAAGTAGGGAATTTATTCGCAAATGAACTCACCAGTTGAAATCAGGTTTCTAAAATTTTGCCGGCCAGCTACGAATAGAAGCTAAGGATAACCTTTTCTAAATCGATTTCGATTACTAACATCGTCAATAATTTCGATGCACATACCAATTGTGCGATAGCACACTTGTGCCAGCTCTCTGTGCTGACTCATTAAAGTGAGTTGGAGTTACTGAGTCAGCACACCAAAATTTACAGAGTTACCCACCCTTAATAGATGACATGCCATGATGACAATTTTTGGTACTAAAATCTGAAGGAAAACATTATTTTCTCAGTGGGAATTATGTTTTTTTTTTTAATTTTATGTATGTATGTGTGTAAGCATATTTGTATCTGCTCTTATTTAGAGCACTTGCGCCGTCCTTTGCCGTAAGCGGGTGTCAACTACGTACAGCGCGAGTGATCTACATACAATAGTTTGTATGTTTGTACCTACATATGTATGTACTCGGTTTTCTAACTCTAATTGACATTCGCTTTGTACTCTTATGAATGTATGTATGTATGTACTATACATAGGTGTTGTAACAAGTGTCCGTAATCATACATATCACAATGGCAAGCCCCACACCTCATTGCGCTCCATTCACCACAACTATTTGTTATTGTTACTACTGAGTGTTAAATTTTTACTTGATTACTCTTTGTCGTTTTTTGTTTATATTCACTCCCTTCTTTTTGATGGTGCACTTTTCGCAGCCAATTCACGAAGCAACTAGTATTTCAAGTGCTCCAACAATTGAATTGAGCGCCGCTTATAATTCTTATCATTTGCTCTCTCTGTAGACAGCTATTTTCACACTCTTCTTATTTTTTAGCTCATTACTTGACGATCGTTGACTGCTTTTTGGTGACATCTTTTGCTTAACATATCGCTTGCTGCGGTTCAATCGTCAATTACACCAGGGGCGGACCCAGAAGTGGGGGAATTAAGTAGGAAGCTGCTTATGCTCACATAGCCTCAGCTATTGGTGGATGATCTGATAGGACATCGTGCGATTGGTATTCGCATGATAAGGTCAGGAATCTTACCTGCTCCCTTCTGTATTAACAATCAAAAGGATGGTGAGATGGAATCATCTCAGCACTTTTTATCCTATTAGACTGCCCTGCCTTCGCGAGGCTAGGATGGCAACATTTTGACTCGCGTTTTCTCACTAACCTGGAGGAGCGCTCGGCTCGCGGCGTTTTGCGGCCTAAATTAATGTTCTCCGTCGAGTTTCGTGTTATCAGAAGGGAATATATTTAAATTGTCCAAGTGCGTCCCTTGTCTGGACCAATCACTATATCTTAATCGAATTTAACGTAAGTTGTCGCCACAACATTTTTCGCTTCTTTCCAAATTTCGTTGGTTACTTCAAAATCTGAGAGGCACCTGAAGGCACCTAAGTTTTAATTTAGATGATTTCCTTCATTTCGCCAGGAACTATTTGTTCAAGTGCGACTCCTGTGAGGAATAACTCTGCCTAGTTTTTCTCCTACCTAGATCCGTCAATGGTCAATGGTTATGGTATGATTATGCACACTTCGCATAACTTCGCACAACTTCGCATAAACTTCAAACTGTAATTTCGTATGTACTTTTCACGTATTTTGTTTGTATTCCATTACCCAGAAATTAGCAGAACATTTAAAATATTAGCAATCTGTTGAGTTTAGATTTTGCTTCACATTTTCTTAAGTTGCATCTTTATTGCACTGGTACAAATGGTTGTGCGAAGTTATGTGAAGTATGCATAATCAGACCTTTACATTGGTCAGTACTTGACGTCGCCTTTCGATTATTTGTATGCCCAACGTCTTATTTGTGCTCTCTCTCTCTCTTTTAAATTAAAAACCCAATCAGCTGGATTTGTACTTGTACTCTCTTGCTCTCTCTGCTCTTTACTATTTGTCTGTGTTATCACAAAATAATTTATTATTTCTTAAATTAGATTTCGACAACAATCCAAACAGTTTAGTTTTAAGGCGCATACTTCGAAATTCAATGTATGGATTTCTTTGTTGCTGTTGCGAGCGTATAGACGTATTAGGAGACACTCAGGGCTATCACGGAATCCATCGTAGAAAATCTACGAATTCGAATGCCTGCTACGAATACGAAAAAATTGCTATCACTGATTCCGAGTGAACTCGAAAATATCGTTGCCAGCTTCGAATGTTGATTCGAAATCAGCTAGTGCATAGGAAACAATAGACATTTATGTATGCCATTTTGCTCACGCTGCCCCAGCAATCGCAATGGCCGAGTGAGCATAGCACTAGACTGCCAATTGAGAGATC